TTTCCACACCCCCAGATTTGTTGGCAAGACTTTGTAAAGTAAACTTGTTGAACGCAAAAAATTCGCCGGATTGGTTTTTCAATAATTCATTTTATAGGCCAAATCTACTGCGATCAAGAGCCACTGTGACTCTTGAATGTGATTGAAGATTATTGCTTTTTTTTGGGTGACGTATATTGTTATCAACTAAGTGTAAGATGTTTCACTCTAAAATCACCTAGCCTTTCCCTCAAAAGTCCCATGAATGTGCCGTTAAGTTAACAGATTTGTGGATTACAAATTTACTGTTTGATTGAAATTATAAATTTACCGGTAATGGGAGCTTTGCTTTGAGCCCTGGCTAAATCCGTATATTATTGGGGGCAATAAAGCGAGGTTTGGAGTGATGGTTTCATGGAGCATTGCTTTATTATCATGAATACACTAGTTTTTGTATTTCATCAAAATTAAATGCTGATCAGGCAAAGTTAAAAAAAGGTACGTATTCTTTATGCTTAACCCATTCGCTCCCTGGTGATTTTGTCGAATAACACGTTTTCAAGCTAGTCGAGTGGTTTTCTTGTTACTGTCATGCTATAAAGAGTTAAAATTACCACCAAGCCATTTACAAGTCATGCACTTCGCAACTTCTGATCCAGGTGCAAAATATTAGCTAGCGAATTAATGGGCGCACTATTTTCCTCTTTGATGGCTGTGTTTGATTTTCTCGCGTTGGCGCCAGAGGTTTATTATCTAAATTTTCTCCCTTTTCTCGAGTATCCTGTGGTTGTAAGGTATGCTGTCGACCTTGTGACGTTGCCGCCATCTCTCCTTCTGGCCACAACTTGAGTTCCCTTTCTGTACTGTACCTCCATCAGATTTCCCTCATAGGGCGATGAGGCTTTACTGCTAAGTTCTTGTTTTACCAGCACAGCATCCCCAACCTGTATATCCTACATCCTCTGTGACGTCTAGATAGTGCCACCTGTCCAGGATTTGATCAAACTACTCTTTCAGGGGTATGGACACTCTTCTTTGTTACTGAATGGTGCCTGGGGCCCCGGGTACTACATGCAGCTTTACAGTTACACCTTTCAGTTTCCCAATACCAGTAAAGACATTCTCATACTCTGCGATGAAGTTTTTTCTTTCTGGTTGTTCCACCTCCATTACTGGGGAAGGGGCTTTTGTTGTCTGCTCAATGTGACACTCTATGAGGCCCATGTTTTCGCCTGCCTGGCAGCTTAAAAGTGCATTTTTCCCTTGGCCTTTGACTAGATACAGAACTTCTAGGATGCTTTTTTGGTTTCGGCCTAGAGAGGTGGTGAAACAGCCTAGTAAGGGTAACAATGGTCCTGGTCCATCTCCTGAGTAACTCGTAACGACCCCTTTTGTCGGCTGGAGGTGGCTTGTTCATTTAAGGTTCTCAAAATGTTTCTGTGATGACCGTGAGGTCTGCTTGCATAACGTGACCAGGATCGTATTCATCTGCAATGTCACAGTACAGGTAGACCTATTCAGTTGCCGTGCTTTCCTCCTCTGGGTGACTCGTGCTTGGGTCAGGGTATCCCTCTAAAGCTCTAACTTGCCTACCAAAATGATTCGGCTTTCTGTTGGGACACACCCTAGCAAAATGATTGCTCTTTCTGGACCTGAGGCAGTTCTTACCCCAAGCAGGACAGGGAACTCCCTTTTAGTGGGCTTTGTTTCCACATCCAGTGCAACATAACTTAGGTTTCAGTCTGCCTGTGCTGCTCTCGGGCCTCTTGTTCCTCATACTGTACCGTCCTGGCCAGGTGATCTTGTTCACCTCATTGCTGTCCTTTGCACTCAGCTGTTCACCTCCTTGGGCCGTAGATCTGTCACCTGCCATCATCTCACTTCCCTACTTAGCCATTTCAAACGCCTTTGCGGTTTCAGGATCATTTTCATATCAGTTCTCCATTCTTTCGGATCAAGTCGTTGTGTAGCTCTCCATTTTTGTGTGTTGACCACTGCCCGCATGATGATAGCATTTTCTGTAGTTATCGGGAACTTGCAGTGTAGCCCTTGTTCTCTGCATTTGGTTTCAAAATCCGCGAACAGTAACTCGGTGGGCCAGTCGATGTTGAAGAACTTGCATAACTCTGAGGTATTTTTTCGGTGTGCCTCAAAATGGTTGTTTAGCTCTTGAATATGCAACTCGTAATTTATAGGCTGCTCCGGTAACATTTTTATTAATTTCTGGAGTTCCTCTCCGCCCACTAACAGGAACAGTGTTGCCCTAACCGAAAGCAAACTTCTCTGTTGTTACCAATCTGGTTTTCGCACCGCCATCAATAGCATTGCCTGCTCAAATCGTTCTCGCCATAGCTTCCATGCTTTCTCACACTCGCCTTAACACTTGCCAGGATTCCCGCTTTACCTCTGTGTGTATTGTTTTCTTCTTGTGCGCCTTCGTTTGGCATTGTATCTCGTTCTCGTCACCAATTTAATAGATAAACTTGTCAATAACAGGTTGTACATGTCCGCCATGCTTTTAATGACCTAAGCAACTGAGCCTTACATTGTCCCAGAGTTCCTAGCGTGTAGACTAAGTGACCCATATGAGCCGCCTGTGGTACAGTGGTGGTGGTGATGGGGAGGGGAAATAGTTGGCAAGGGGATCTACATGTAGCAATCGAAATTATGCTGTGATTCATACTGAAATTGACAGAAATACATCATAGACAACAAGGGAAAGTGAGAGAAAATATCAAAAACAATTTACTTACTGTTAAAATAGCTGGCACTATGATTATGGTACCAATGACAAGAGAATGGCAACTGGCTGCATTTAGAATTTAAAATTTTATTGTAATAATTATCTTCTACCCTTCCTACCTTCTCCCCCTTGCCAACCCCAACAAAAGGGTTTTTTGTTACAAGCAGCACTCTGGTTAACACAACACCTTTTATTGTATAAAAGTAAGACAAGAAACAATATCGGAGATATTTAACAATGAGAACTTAACTGACTGATTCTTAGGGAAACAATGTTTTTCTTGGTAACAGGGCTTTTGTTATTGCATGTTACAATTATTGACAGAGATCATGATAAATATCAACTGAAATGAACTTTCTGCTGAGTCATTTTTCACTGAGGTCAACAGGAATACCTTAAATAACCATTGTCATCACTTTCTGTAGAAACTGAATCGGAGGGGGTGGGGCTTGGAGTATACGATCTCACTCCCAGTTGCCCTGAAAATTCAGGGTCAGGTGAAATTACAGAATTATATCCCTTGGGTCTTCCACGAATATCATTTTGACACATCAGCATGGCTTTTGTAACGTACTGGGTGAGAAGGATGAAACTGATGCTGAGTTTGGCCGACATGGCCATAGCAATCATCCTCATTCGAGAAGAAATTCCTTCTACCATAAGAGACATTGAGTCAGTCATTTTTTGCATTGTACTTTGTAAAGACTTCTTTGATTCCTCAAGTCAGGCAATCATTTGCTTCTTCATGATTAGGTCTTCTTTTGCTGAATTCGTTAAAATCTGATCACACTTGGCTTTAGAAAGTGCCTTCTCCTTCTGCTTTCATTTATTATCCACTAACCGAGGAACTACTGACAAAGACACTTGGGTATTTTTCTGTTCTCCTGTTTCGTTTTCATGGCATGTGGAAGTTGAACAAGTTTGCTCAGTGATAGATTCCGGTTCTGAAAATTTATGTGAAAGGGCAGTTCATCAAACAACTTATAGCACAGAACTACCTATCTACCATTCAATGGATCTCCATAAAAAATGATGATTCTAGCAAATTGGTCAGCCAAGAAATAATAATAACAAATAATATTATTATTATTATGATAATTACAATATAATAATATGAGTCGTATGTGATTCTTCTATTGTCCTGAATTGAGGACTGTTGTTGGCGAATGATATTTCAAAAAAAAATCCTGCGCAGTACTCATCTTTCCTTAATTAAAGGATCACCTGACCTTATACCTGTGACATGACTCCTATGTTAAAACCATTACAGTCAAGGCAGGTTAAGTGTACCCCCAAGATTCCAGTAATGAATCGATTATTTAAAAGTTGAATCCCTTAGTAGTTGTAGATTTTAGATTCATCTCCACATTCCTGCATAGTAATGACCAGTGAATTCACACGCGAGGTCAATTTCCCTCGATATGAAATTTGTACGGGCTCAGTTTTCTTGAACTTGATATACTGTAATGTGCTCGTAGCAATTTTATCCATTAAAAGATTTTTCAATCTAACCCCTTTACAGAAAAGTTGTAGTCAAAAATTTACTGCTCATTAAGATGCAGGAATGCAGACCTGAATTTGGATACAACTAATGAATTCATTATTTCAAATAATCAGTTTATTAATGGATTCTTTGGGGATAAGTTTGACCTGCCTTGACTGTAATAATAGAATTTATTAGTGAATTCTTGAATTCAAATTTAAAGTGGTTTACATGCACTGTAATGAAAGGGGCATCAACTGCCTGACAGCACTCAAGAACTTTCACTCTCTGTCAGGGAACATCAACTGTCAGCTTGGTTTCTTTTTGTTTGTTTTTTTCTGATTGCTTTTTTCTTCTCTCCTTTAATTAACTTATCCTGTAAAACTGATTACACAATTACAAGGTCTTAACTCAGCCAGGGGTTAACTCGAAAAATTCAGTTTATCTATTTAGTTCCTCAGCACCTTTTAAATTTCAAGCTTTATCTGCCATGGTTAATTACAGCAGCTTCACCCCTTTCTTTCTCTCTGGTTAGTTTCTTCATTGTCACTGGTTACTGTCAGACTGTCACCATCAACACCTTCTGGCAGCATTACTGTAGCTGGAGAGCGACTCCAAATGTCACACAGGGTATCAAAATGTTCCTTCTTTATCTTTCTACTTCCACTTCTTGTTCCCTTACTGATGGCAGTTCTATAGTCCTGGCGGATACCTTTGATCTTTGACTTGATACGCTCATAGGCTCTGGAAATTTTGTCTTTTCCTGCATAATTTTGCTGGTTTCCTTGTACAACTCATACTCTTCAGAAAACGTGTCAGTCTTTCACACAAGTGGAGGGTTCTGTAACTTTGTCTGGACCAAATTCACTCGGAAACCTATGCGCCATGGAAGAGCAAACTGCGCTGTACAATTCTTTCAGGTCCGCCTCAAAGTCTATTGACTTAAAATCACACAAGGTCTTGTAATCCTTGATGTAACCTATGAGTGCTTCAACATGTTCGTCTTTCCAACTCCATTTCTTGTTGGCAGAAACCGTAGAAACTGCTCCTTTTTTGATCTTGCTTTTTTTTGCGGGAGGCTGCAGGGAACTGACCTCTTGGTCACTCCTCTGGTCTACAATCATCTGGGTTTTGACTCGACGCAGCATCATTCAAGCAATCGGGCAATTGCTCACTTCCCGGGGCACTTTGTTCCTGATCTGCTGCAATAGAAGCATATCTTTGGAACACAACCAGTCCCGAATATCTGTGGAAGTCGGATTCATCATCATCGTTGGCTCCTGTTAAAGAAAAACGAAATTGTTGCCCTTTGTTTCCTTTGCCTCCAACTTCGCAACCGGCTGCCATGTTTGTTTTGTTTGTCCCTAGTACTAGGATCTTCCTAGTGAAAGCAGTTTACATGGTGCTAGTGTAGGAAGATCCTAGTGCTAGGGAGAAGTACATCCCTTTGCATGTAAACTGAATACAGAAAACGTATGGTGCTAGGATGATCCGCCCTTTAGGATCTCCTTGGTACTAGGATCTTCCTCACTCCACGTAAACAGCCCCTTACACAACACAATTTTTCTTGCCTTTTTGATTTAGCTTGTAAATGCAGGCAAAGTAGTTCGTGATTACAGAACAGTCTACTGCACACTGTCTTTAATAATGACAGGCGGCCGATCAAAGGTTTCCCATCTGTATTTTTACAGGCCCTCTTATCTTCAGATTTGCTTTTTCCTGTCAAAGAATATACTGTGTAAACAACCAAAATAACCTTGAGTAGATGCCGCTACAGAAATTCCATTTCTGAGATACAGAGCTTTTCCTGTACATTGAGGTTTATAGCGGAGCTCCCGCGCGCGCGCAGCGGAGCACCATGGGTAAGAAAATTTGGTAAACCATCCATCCCAGAAAATTTGGTTATGACGTAGCGTACGCCCGTCCGTACACACACTTCATGTAAGCCGATGTCAAATGTCACAATAGATTTTGCACAACTTGACTAGCTTCTTAGTTATGTAAGCCATCCGTATGAGTACGATTAGATTGACAGCTGTCAAAATCAGACATCCGCCGACAGTTATCACATGACCGTCTCGCGGGCTCAGATAAAAGACCAGTCGTTTTGCCCCTATATATAAGCTGATATAATATGTCACACTTACCAATTCAACATAAAAACGAAACTACGCCGGGCAAGGCTGTCAGTTGGCTGACAGTCGTTTAAAGTTACATTGGCAGGCCAAATTAAGGTCAATTGACAGCTGTCAAAATAGGACATGTGCAGACTGCTATCAGAAGAGTAATAACGAGGGCTCAGGTTCGCTCAGGTACACGATCTGGCATTTTCCACTACATGCCAGACGGAAATGTCCTACTCACACTCGTAGTCTGTTAATTCGAATATTCGCCATTCTAATGAAGGTTAATTGACAGCTCTCAAACTAGAGTATACGCTGACCATCATCACCTGAGTGGATCGCGGGCTCATTTTTCTATCTATTGAGGTCACGTAGTGTTTAAAGTTTTGCGCTGATACTTTATTTGATCACGGGCTCAATTCGAAGCCCCATAGCTTTATAGAAAATCTATCCATCCTAGAAAATTCGGCAATCACGTGACCCGTAACCGACCACCCGACACTCCCTCCGTCCACACCACAGGCATACCAATGTTTAATCTCACACTTTCTAGCTAGTTTGGGAGCCTGCAACTTGATATTGTACATTCATGTTTTGATTAATTGACAGCTGTCAAAACAGTGTTTCTGCTGACCAGTATCGCCTGACCGTATCGCGGGCTCAGGTATCAACCCTCTGAGTTCGAGTAGTATTTTGAAGGTATTCGCTGACAAGTTGCTACTTTTCAAATGATCGCAGGCTCAAGTTCAATTTTTTTAAAATGCATATGAAATAAGTCGTGTTTCATGAGCCGCACTTTTAAAATGTTGATTTCGAACTGATCTCGGACACGAAAATTCAACCGGCTTTTACATTTACATGCACGGAAGGCAATCGCTTCGGACTTTTCTCACTGTCCCGCGTTGATCACGCTCTACGTCCAATTTCTATATTCTGATTGGTCAAAATTTGACAGGTGAGTTTATGCGAAAAATTTTTGCAGCGTCTGGAAACTTGCTTACTGATAGCTGGAGCTGAGAGAGTTTTGTGTCATCTGGTGATGTTTTAAACTGTCTTTTTCTACTTGGTGTACAAAATGAAATACAGCTGCTATCAAGATTGTTCTGTAATTCGTGGCTGGTTTGTTTATTGCGCTTTTTGTTGACAAATGGACCGCTTGTCAAAGTCATTGGAAATCCGATTTCGGATGGCATCGTTTTCAAAAATGAGCTTACTCACTTGCCCTTGCTTGAGGCGTAAGAACGTTGAAAAGTCTCGAGCGATTTTGGAACTCTTGATGACCTTCAGAAGCAGCATCTCGACTGGTAAGCTTGAGCCGTTATTGTTTTTGATGTTTTTTTTTTCGGTTTCCTGAAGTCGAGCGTATGGTTTATATTATGCGGCTTAAGTTAAAACACGAGCAATGATGTAACCTACAATAGTATCAGGTTTAAAAAGCCTTTAGACATTTTTTGACCCGCAAATTCAAAGAAAAGGTTCCGAAGATTATTTAGTTATGATTTTGGCTGTAAACAGAAAGCTCTGAGCGATTTTCTTGCCTCGAGTTCATCTTGAAAAAGAGTGAACGCCGGGAAGCCGGCTTAAAACATAAATAAGCTTATGCTTGCCTGACTCATGATTTTCTGAGACACTTTCCTCTCAATACTTCTCTTCGTGAATGAAAATTATTGTCTCGGTACATGTTTCACCGAATTAAACTTATTTTATTGATTGTTAGTAGTCCCTCTCGCAATTTTCATCGCTGCACCGGTTGTTTCCAGTCGAACATAAACATCGCATGTAGGAATACTCAAAATGCCGTGCGTAAATATCACTTGCCTATCAAGATTACACAACAAAATCACACACAGTTTAATGAATAAAGGGAAATAAAACCTAAACATAACAATTTCTCTATCATGTTGAAGCGTAAATGGTAACTCTATTAATCGCACTGCAAATTTGGTGCCTGTCAAAAGTGAGAACCCGTCCGACTGGCCGAAAAGTGATTTTGGGGATTTTTTTATCGTTTTCATTAAAAGCCCATAATTATTACCCCGCATATTACATAGGACCAGATTTTTCTAACCGAAAACGTTTTATAATTTAATGCTATAATTTGTTGTGCAAAGGAAGCGCGTGCTTTGATCGTCGTGGATATTGAATGAGAGCAAATTCTCTTGCAAAATTGTGAAAAACTGCAGAATTATAAGTTTAAATAGGGGAAAAAAGAACAAATTCTGTCCGAGGTCTGTGTACTGTTTACCTGAGAAGTGATGAGAAAAAGTATGTTTAAAAGGGTGGTTTACACGCCACCAGATTCGTCCCCAAGATTTACTAGTAAACTAAACTTGTCGAACACAAAAAATCCAGCCTGATTTTTATTTTGGCCTTTCTTTTAGACAGAGGAATGCAACGTGTAAATTGGCTGCCATCAAGAACTATCGTGGCGCATGTGTTTCTTAAAATTATATTTCGGGGTTGTCCAATTATCCATAGTCAGTCTAACGGAGCAATGTTGGAGAGACTGGTGAATGCCATATTATGATGCTACAGCTAAGTTTATTACAAGCCTAGATTTTTGTTTTCCAACAATTTTTATTCGACTTCTCGTCTCTTAAATTTTTCAAATACTATCCTAAAGCGGGGACAACAAAACAAGCAGTTATAGTGTTACATTTGTGTCGAAAGACTCAGCGCTTTCATTCTCAGCCGCCGCCAAAACCCAAAAGGCTTGATAGCAAAAAAATAAGAGTCAATCTTGAGAGAACACCACACTACAAGCACTTAAATGTGTTTCTTGAAGTAAAATGGATCGAAAATCCTGTATGAAAAGCAATTTCTGCACTGAAAACAAGAAAACCAACTTACCGTTTTACGAGGCGGCCAAACTTCTAGTTTTCACCGTCGGGACTTCAGGTCGACGCTGTGGCATTATGTTAATTAGTTCCAAGAATTGAACATTTCACTTCCGGTTGACGTCCTCCTCGGCCGCGTCCACAGTATCTTAAGGTCCCTAATACCTTTCTGGAGCTCTTGAAGACCGAGGTCCTTGAATTTAGACTCCTTAGACAAATCGTGCCACAACTCTAAATTCACTTTAGGCGAAAACAAGTATTGACAACTTTCCCGGGTCTTATATTTCTTATAAAGATCCTTTAGCTTAGAATGCATTGCTTTCGTAGAATAATAAAAGCATCATTGACACATTGAGCAATGACCTCAGCACTTCAGTCCCAAGACTTTTGGTCTCCTTGAACACGGAGGGGAGGCCCAACTCCTCCTCATGAGCCTCATCAGTCAATGTGACTTCGTGCAAAACTGCTGCAGCCAAGGGGTAAAAAACCCCATTGGCGTATTATCAAGAGGACTTAAAATTTTGAGCCTCTGAACCAGGATGCCTAGATTTCTCGCTGTTGAGCCTTCCAAGGATACTGTTGATCCCGAGCTGTTCCTTTCACTCATCTAAATCTAATTCCCCATAGTCTGTGTCGTTGTCCAGAACTGTGTTGAGAACTTCATTCGCAATCACCTCATTGGGTTCCAAAGGTTTAGTGTTAGAGCTGATTGTTGAACACATCGCCACTTGGGCAAGCGAAACTCTTGCTGTTGAGTTTCGTGTGCCGGTCAAGTGAAGGGTGCTAAAAAGATGGGACTAAAGTGACATAAAGGACAAATGTAAGTACAGTGGAACCCCGCCAGACGACCACCCCTTTATTACAACCACTTTTATATGGCCCAAGCAAAAGCCCACACATTCTCCTATCTGAAAACCCCGTTAATCCGACCACCCCTTAAATACGAGCAATGACCACCTTTTGGAGTGCTCAGTCCGTATTTTCTTTACAAAATTACCCCCATTAATATGACTTGTTAAATTGACTGGTTAGCAGCGCTCCAAGCTCATTTTTTCAATAAGTCGCCTTTTGGCGAGCTTCATTTTTAAAATGGTCGCCAATGGAAAATTTCGGTCGCCAAAAATTGTCGTTTCATTAACGCAAGACACTTCATGCTACTTACATGAAGGAGCTACTGCTGAACGTTGTGTACGGAAATAAATCGTGTTTTTAACACTCCATTGTTACTTGCCTGCGGGTTGTAAACGCAGTACAAGATGGCAAAAACAGGCAAAGACATTTATGAGAGGTAACCAGAACAATTTACTACAAAGTTGGATGTTGAAACCCGGAACATGTATTTGCAGTGATATCGGTTATTAAAACAAATCTGATCAGATACGATTACGTGAATATACATTTGTTCGTACCGTCTACTTGCTAAGAAACATCTTTCTTTAGCTAAATCATTGGCATTGAAACCACTCACATATGTAAATTAAAACTTGAATCAACAATAACAATAACAATACTTCTGGCCTAAATAAACGTTTCTTACTTCAAAGTTGATGACAAAAATACTGTTTGTACGTGCTAAATGAAACTTGCCTGAATAACTTCCACTCATTGTTGACGTATATCAGTATCAAGTTATTCTTAGTTATCCTAATAAATATCTATATATGGTTTTCTAATCACGAAAAAGCAGTACTAACACTTGAATTTATCACGACAACGTATTTAGAGGAGAATGTAAAATATACATTTATCGCGATTCGGTGACTAACTGCATTTACCAAAACATCGATCAATGGCGCTGATGTTTCAACAAATTAGATTGCTGGTTTACGTTGGTACTTTGTCTTGAATGATAATATTATAAACAAGTAAACAGATTGGGGATTTAAAGTTTTGTACAGTGATGTTATTTGTAGGTGGCGCTCAAAGAGTTCTGTTCATGGCGTATAGAATGGTCTTCGAGGTTTTTTGGCCGAAGAAAACCATGCAGCAACAGCTGGAGCTGGATCGTAGTCAACGACAGGAGGACCCTCAGCTGAAATCCTGATCAAAGATTCAGTTGTCTCGGGGGCGAGGGAGGCTCGATGGCAATTCTTGGTTCGGTTCTGTGCCGAGATTGCTCTCTCACATTGAGCGGCCGAAAGGGGAAGCACAAGGAGAATTTCAACAAGGCACAACACATCCTTCAGTTCATTCCTGTACGGCTCCTTTGTCATAAGTGTGGCCCAAAGATCATTGTATCCTTTATCCATGAACTCAGAATGGACAAGAATCTTCAGGGACAGCCACTGAGGTTGAATTGCACCTGTGTTACATCCAGAGGAGACAAGTGGAACTTTGAACCAATTGATTAAACGTTCGACTTTTTCTCTGCCGAAATCAAGAAGGGCTTCCATATCTGTAGGCCAAGCATCATGGTTGAAGACAGTCAAGTCTGAGATAACCCCATTAACTGTAGCAGTTTTCTCAGACTTGTGCTGAAGCAATGGCCCAAACCTGTCTTCAAGTCCTTTCAGGCAAAGCTGTACTGCTTGCTCAATGCTTTTGGGAACCTCGTCACTGCCACTGTGATGAACTTTGGAAGCAATGTTCCGAACATTGGTCGATCCTGATTTGGTAAGTTGAATTACCTGAAACATTGGTGGCTCACATTGCGTTTTTGCGAAACTTGCTAGAAGGGTTTCTATTCTTCCACCGGTAATTGGTCGTTTAGGCAGGCTCTTAATGTTTTCAACTGTTTCCTTTAGAATAGCAAGAGCGCTTGGAAGTATTACCGGTAAGTCATTTCGTTGGAAATGCAGGCTTAGTTTACCAAGAATCTGAAACATATCAGCAAGAAAATGGCAAAAAACAAGGAAGGAAACCTTTTTCATAGCGCGAGCAACATTCAATGCTCTGCCTTTGATTTCTGCTTTAGGAGACGTTGAGGCTAAGTGCTCCATGTGCTGTAGAACAGCTGCATACTGCGATTCATCTTTTGCCAAATCTCCATCCTTCACTGGTTTAATGAACACGTCAAGGGCTCTGCTGACATGTGGTAACCACCTTGATCCTTTCACTCGAGTTGGCTGCAACACGTCAATTCCAAGCTGGCTTGCAAGGGTCTTCAAATCACGCTTGCTTTTTGGGCTGTAGTGGTATGTTTTCCACACCAAATGAAGGACGTCGTAAACTTGAGTCACCAGATGGCAATCCCGTTGCATGCTAAGAAGAGCAAGCTCCAGGCGGTGAGGAAAACAGTGGATTTCAAGCAAATGGGGAACATCCTTTTTAAGTAATGCGGAAACACCTCCTTTATGGCCCACGTTTACAGAGGCGCCATCAGCCCCAAATCCAGTCAACTTTTCCTTCCAGTTTGGTACCTCTAAATCACCGAATGCTGATTCAACTGCCTGGACAAGACCTAATTCAAATAAAGGCAGCAATTACTTAATCTATAAGCTTGGCCAAATACCATTTGAAACTTGTTTTTTGTTCCTACGTCAGCTGTTTTACTGTAGTTTGCATATAATTTGTAAACAAAAAAATGGCAGCTCTGAGTTTTTAAAGTAGCACGATTCAAACACACGAGATAGTTTGCGAGAAATTAAAAGTTGCAGCAGAGTCTCCTTCGATTTTCCTTGACAAATGTTAATCTTCGGTTTCTCCCAAACGTCGTGCTATTTTATGTCTTTTAAATAGTCGAGAACAAAATGTCAAGGCAAGGCAGCTGAGGTAAGGGGTCAGCTGTACACAAACAACCTGCTAGCTAGCCCATACAGGTGAAATAGGTTAAGTCGCAGCCGGGCCACTAAGCAATCCACACGGCCGGCAATTAACTCTGTATCATGACGCAACTGAGAGTACTACTACCCCCCCCACCCCCACCCACCCACCTACCTGCCCCCCTTCCTGGATTGAAGTAAAGTTCGATACAGACTAATTTTTACCTGTTGCATTTGCATTTTCAACAGCTTTGTGTCCAATTAGTCGAGTAACTGCTCGCCCATTCTGTACCATCTTGCAATGTATGGTCTCATTCTCAATACCGGACACATCTGAAGCACCATCAATGAGAACAGAGATAAAGTGGGCCTCCTTCAACTTTTTGGAAACGTCGTCAGCAAGAAGTTTTCCAATGAGTCCAGTCATTTCGGCACATTTTGTATCGTTTGCGTATGTAACACCAACTTCCAACCCATTCTTTTTCTGTAGCTGCACTAACCCTTTATATTTCGTGAAAGGAAGCTCCTCCTTTGCAACAAAATACGCGGTATTTATTTTGATCGTCATCTCTTTTTGCGCATCTTTGTCGTTCTGACTTCGCATTTTTGGAAAACTGCTCTTAATGGTCCTTCCGATGCTGGTTTCTGCTTACCAAGTAGATGGTCTCGTGCGCGCGTGTGACGATGGCTCCTTCCATGAATGGATAGGGTTTCTTTCTTAAATGATGTACAGCCGGTGACAAAGTCTGTTTTGCCTGCTATTTCGGCGCCAGCCTCTTGACAAAATGTGCAATACATCGCGTTTTTTTGTGGATCAAAGTTTACCCAGGTAAATTCTTTCTTCCAATTGGCGTTGTACTTTCACGTAACAGTATCACTATGTGTAGTGGAAGTACGGGGATGTTTTTTAACTTTTACCTCGTTTTCATCACTGATCTCAGATGAAGCCCTGGGCCTTTTGGTGCCTGGTTTCAGTACAGTGGTGCTGCCTTTAGACTTTAAGGAAAAAAAAACTGGTGATTGCGATCGCTTTTTTCCCGCCACTAGGTGCAGTAACAGGAGCCGTGGATACACTAACATGAGCCGTGGATACACTAACATGAGCCGTAGGTGCAGTAACAAGAGCTGTAGGTACACTAACTGGAGCCGTGGGTGCAGTAACAGGAGCCGTGGGTGCAGAAACGGGAGCCGTGGGTGCAGTAGCAGAGGCCGTGTTATCCTTGGGTGTACAAACATTACACACCAGTGGTACAAAATGGTTTGGCTGATATACAGCACCAGAGCGATTGTCAAGATTGTCCTCTCTTGACCACAAAATGTAGATCGGCAAAACGTCAGCGGCACTGCTTACGCGAGGATGTACCAATCCAAGGATCAGTGGTCTCAAAGCGGGGTTTGTGTTTGGGTAAACAGAAAAAATTGGCCGTTTTAACACTGTACTTAATGCCATCAAATGTACAAGACTGCTCCAAACCTTGTCTTTTGAGGCACTCATAGCTTCTGCTTTTACGGCTTCAACTGCACGTCTGGTCGACTGCCACTCTTTCTCGCCTGCCGACGTCAGCATTAAAATAAACACTGTTTTCTCTGAGTAGGAACACTCCGCATTTGCTTCAGAGAGCTTTTCGTGATTAGCATAGAATTCAGCGTTTAAAAATAGTTCACAAGCAGTCAGAAATCGTAAAGTTCCATTTAGTGACTCATCTCCCTTCATTAAAACTGACGCAGAATTATACAAACAATTCCCGTCCCTGGAAACTTGAAGAGCCCGTAGACCACGTGGAAGATTTTCATCATCCGGAATCAATGCTGTTCCAAGTGAATCTTCTTCATAGTTGTTGAAGGTTAGTTCCGAGATGCTTTTCTTATGGAGAATTTCCTCGTGTTCTCCCTTTAACTTGATGACTTTTTCGGTTGCTGACGGATCGCCGCTTGCGAATAGATTGCGTACTTTTTCAAACATTCTCTCGAAGTCTGTCATTCTTCATTACTATTTCCTCAGCAAGAGCAATAGAAATAAGCAAATGACAGCCAGCTACGCGCGAATGGGGATTTCACATCAGTTTATTGACAGCAGCGCTGCGCATAAAAGACTACACAGACATTTGACCTCCAGCTGTGATTCAGACAAAGAACTCCTCTTTGTCTTATCTGCATGAGAATGTGGTATGGGAAAGTCTCGGGGGAAAGTGGTGTTGCCGAAAACTTTGATGCGGCTTTTATTGATATTTTTGCAAGAAAATCACGTTTACCACTGATTTCGTCGATTTTTCGCTGATTTTTTATATCCAAAACAAATCCCGCTCATACAAAGCCTTTGAGCTGACTGCATGTAGACTTTGTCATTCACCAAGGGGTCTATCTATTTTTAGTAATTGTGCACAGCACCATCAACTCCACGTGTTGCCTAACCTGCGAGAGCATCCGGTTTTTTCGGCACTAGCTTCACAAATCACAACGCTTGTGAAACTAGAGCCGATAAAACTGAATTCTCTTGCAGGCTACGTGTAGCCAGATCAGCGTGAAAAGTGCCTGAGTTAACTTTTCTCACGGGAAATTTAATATTTCTTCATGAAATACATTTACTCCAACAAAAGTATTTTTATTGATGAATATAATAAAACAGCTTTTATTTAAAAAAAACGCAATAAACGCAACTTACAAGAGCATACGACTTGCCATATTTTGTGTCAAAATTTAACTGTTTCTGTCGGGTGGCCTGGGTGTAAGTCAACCCCTCCCGGAAGTAGTTTGGGCTCTCCCAGTTTCTCCCACCTGAGTTTTCAAAATGGCCGCTCAATGAATTCGAAGCTGCGATACGCAGATCCTTATGCCAGAACTGTACACATGCCTTGCCATGCAAGAGGAACAGATTCATCATTGAATTTACACAGAAGAAAAGCTTGGTAATATTTCTTTAATTTAACGATGATTCAGTTAAAAAGCGATAAAACGTGAAGTCAACTTTATTCTTTTGAGCTTATATCCTTTGGTCGCCAATTTTTTTTTTCACTCGCCATGGCGACCAAAATGGTCGCAGCTTGGAGCGCTGGTTAGGAAGCTGAATGAAGACAGACAATCTGACAAATAACACATTAAAATTTTATTCAATGTTTTCAGGCAGACATTTTTGTGGTTAGCATGTTCATTCAATAACATCTGGAAAGGAAATCACCGCGAGTAAAGAAGATAAATGAACAGGCTCCACACCACTGTGAGAGCACGTATATGTTTCAGTGCCTCGCAAGAATTCATAAGTCAGTGTAGCATTTCGTTGGCTCTGAAAATAATTTCGCCTTTTTGTTTCTGTTCCCTTCCTCTGTGGCTCTTCTCTTCAAGTCCCTTTCCTTTTCTTTCCTCCCCAATGGGTTATTTGGAATGTTCAAGTATCTTTTTGAGCATATCCACGTTTCTTGGCTGTCCAGTAAACTTGTACACGCATGGTATTTCCATCTCGTAGCCCCCGCCACGATTAACGGCTTTCCCAACAACTTGAACTTGTCCTTTGCTTCCTTTCTTTGTGAAGAAATGGCGGATAATTCCAGTTCCCTGCTTTGTGCTAGCCAGTGCCCGTGGTACATGACCAGCTACATCGTTATCCTTTATCATGGCTATAGCATTCTTGTCATGCTCATTGTTTGGCTCGTGTATTAAATCAAGAATCTCTCCAAATTTCAATCTCCCAAGTATCTTGATAAACATGGTATCCCCTTATCCAGGAAGGAATTTCGGTTTCATTTAAGGTGGATGTATTTGCAGAACGACCTGCCATGACTTTTGCGGAAAATCAAACTGACTAATCAAACATATGGTAATCATTGTCTTTGTACTGTAATTCGACAACAGTTGCAGACATGGGAAACACTGAAATACTATCTGTTCTCTTAAAAATGCAAATTATTGGACTGATTGGAGGTCTGTCTTTCAACATCCATCGGCGGCATGTGCCAATTCTAATGTGTCTGGCAAACAAGCAAAATTTTAACGGACACAAGCCAGAGGTTTCAAACCACTGTTAACGCATGTTTACATCTCAGGGCTTCAAGCACAATTCATTAGTGAAAGAATTCTTCAAGCTTCATTATTCCAGTATTATGTCCAGTGGCCCGAAGGGGAAACGACGAGAGCTTGACTTAAAAAAACGTTATGAAGTTGTTAGGTTGAAAGAAAAGAACCCTCATGTCAGCGCAAGGAGGCTTGCAGACCAATTTAAATGTGGGAAGACCCAGATTCAAGCTATCTTGTTGGAGAAAGATGAGATTTCAAAGGACTACGAGTCTAATGTCAACGGCAATATCAAACGAGTAAGAGGATCTCAACACGAAGAGATTGATAAAGCTTTGCTTGACTGGTTTTGAAAGGCAAGGTCAAAGAACATTCCAGTTACCGGGCCCATGTTGCAAGAAAAAGCTACAAGAATTGAAGAGGCTTTAGAAGTTTTCGGCGAGCAATTCAAGGCTTCAAACGGGTGGCTAGATCGTTTTAAAAGGAAAACTGGCATAAAAGCAAAGTTTATTTCTGGAGAATCAAGAGATGTCAGAGAAGAAATGGTGGACTCATGGAGAGAAAGACTTCCTGTAATTTTTCCATGATGGCACCCTCGCTACATTTGGAACATGGATGAAACTGGCCAGTTTTTCAGAGCGCTCCCAAACAGATCCCTGACTGAGGCTTCTCAGAGTTGCACAGGTGGTAAGAAATCAAAAGACAGGCTGACGTGTGCGTTCTTCGTTAATGCTTGTGATGGGAAAGATAAGCCTATCATCATTGGCAAATTGGCAAATCCAAGATGTTTCAGAGGTATCCAGGACAGATCACTACTACCATGTGACTATTTCAACCAGCCAAAAGCGTGGATGAACAGTGATAACCTGATGGAAATTCTATCGAAACTTAGCCGAAGACTAAGCCATGAGGATAGAAGCATAATCCTGTTCCTGGACAATCCCCCATGCCACCCCGAAGACTTAGATGATAAGTTTGAGAAGATAAATATCGTCTTTTTCCCAAAAAACACGACATCTTGTCTACAGCCACTTGACCTTGGCATAATTCAGGCATTCCAGCTCAAATACTACATTGTTAGTAAGGTGGATCAATGTAATTCTGCTTGACGTTCTCCAGGCAATAAGGTGGACCTCCATGGCCTGGAATGATGTTTCAGAAAGTGCTGTTGTCAAATGCTTTACTAAAGCCGGAATGTTAGATGCAGAAGGCAACGCGAATGCAGTCAAGTGTAGCAACTCTGAAGTTGACCCATTTGCAGAATTACAAGACAAGTTTGCTGCTGTTGAGAGCTTGGTGAAAGAAACAAGGGAAGTCTCTGCAATCTCAAGGAAAGAAACTGTAGATGGCAGTTTTGATCCACCAGTTTGCTTCAAACTTCCAGACAACTGGGAGGATACATTTTTTTGAGAAGTAGCCCATGAACAAGGAGAGGAAACAAATGATGCTGGGGAAAGAGGGGTTAGTGAGGATGAATCTCCAGCAATTCTATCGAAACTTAGCAGAAGACTAAGCCGCGAGGATAGAAGCATAATCCTGTTCATGGACAATGCCCCATGCCAGCCAGTCTTTGTGCAAGATTGGTCTTGTTTAGCCTACTGATGTTTGGCACACCGTAGGCTTCGCAAAGCTTTTTCAGCTGGGGTTTGGTGTAGACCCCAACAAGACCATTGAACCTGTGCATCTGCACAAATGAAACCAATCTGCCGTTAGAGACAGTCTTGCACCTCGATCGGTCGTTAATAATTTCCTATCAAGTTTAAAAAAAGATTAAACTGTTTACAAACATGTCATTGTAAAGATAGTTACTCTTATCAGTATGGTTTCTCTCATACAGACCAGTGAAATAGAGGAAACAATGTAATTTTTAAATAAAGTGGAAGTATCAAAAGCAAATCTGTCTTTGATCTTAAATACCGCAGATGAGACCCACCCCAGTCCCCACTCAAAAAAAAAAAATCAGTCCTGGCTCGAGCTGCTGGGGATGTAATTGTGCCATTCCTTCGTAAATTAAATAAATTTTCTCTTCCAGGGAATCGTTGATATACATCCTTTTTTTCTTTCGGGAGGCGGGGGCAGGGGAATAGCTTTTAAAGAAGGTTAAGTGGAAAAAATGAACTATGTTTGGTACATTACTTTGAATGGAACACTGTCGTTCTTCTGGGTGTGTTTTTTATTCCTCTCCATTATCCGCTTTCTCAGTTCTGCCGTCTTCAGTCTTTCAGCCGCTCGAAAATGGCGGAGATGCTGGCATCCACCCATCTTTACATACTTCTTGATTACTCGCTTGAGCATGTGTGCGATAATCACGGGAAGGCAGAGATGCAAAATTTACCAAAACGTTTACAATTTAACGCCACTTTTTAAGGGACATTGTGTTCAAACAGAGATTTTATAATCACTCAAAGACTTTTGCTTCATTTATCGTTGCAATTGATATAATAGGAAAAGACAAGCATCCTGCACATGTTTAATTAACGTACATCAAACATTGCCTTAAGATCATTAATTAAAAAACCTCCGGGCAATTCTCAGAATAGCGCCTAATTGCTATTTCTTCTATCGACTAACCTTTTTTGCAGTCAGGTCGTTTACCGAAAAACATGCCAACCAGAGTGTCTAGTTCTTTGTTTGCGTTCATCACGTCCAACGTACTGGAAATGAGATTTTGCTTGTGTTTCTGAAGGCTGCTAGCGTTCATCAAATCAACTCGAAGTTGTTCCATGTACAAGAACACCTTAAAGCAAGCATCAGAAATATGCACCAGACCTCTATCTTTATACTGCCTTGCCTCTGTAATTAACTGCTAACGTTTCTGCGTGGCTTGAAGTACTTTCAAGTTGTGCATATGGCGACAACAGTGTTTCCTCTATGAGGTCACAGGTAGAAAAACTAGCCTTGACTTTCTGCAAAGTATTGTTGCCTTAAGTGTTCATGTTCAACCTTGCATATTTTCTTTCCTTTTTAAGAATTTTTCTGATTGCCCAGCCACCAACATGCCTTACTTTAGCCTTTCCAGACACCGACATTTCCTCTACTACGAAACGAACCGGTTCTTGACTTTCTGTTTCTTCAGCGCGGGGTAACACTTTGACTATGTTACCAAGAAACTTGTGATACAACTTTGTTACAAGAGCAGCGACAATTGTTCTTTGTGGTCGGGTTATCTCTGAACAGTTGTAGAGCCCCTTCGTATAAGTAGCCAGCCGTTCAGAATTCAGAAATCTGTGTAACTTTGCTGTGCAGCTGGTAAATCCCGCCCTTGAAATATTGAAGATTACCTCTTCGTCTGGGTTTTCAATAATGTACTCTGCAAATAGTTTGTAAACTTGTTTCCATACCAAGTTTACGAAGGCTGTCGTCTTGTCTTCAAGTCTGTCCTCAAGCGTCTGCAGACAAGAGTTTTTGTCCAATGCAAAATCCGTGAAAGGCTTTACAACTTTTATGGAATTGAAAATGGCGCTTATTTCTAACGTCGGGGGTGGTCTTGAAAGTTCTGAATCATTCTTAGCTAGTTCATCAAATAATTTTATAATGCTGACTTCACTTTCGTTGCTCCCATCAAAGTAAGACGCTACAGGAGCATACGATAGTATGAGAGGAAACAGGAAACACAATCTCTTCGCCCTCTGTCTCTTCCAGCATGTAACGGTCTTGCACTGTAAAGAAGTGAGCATGAAGAATCTTGTTGCGACAACATTGGAGATCGTCGCGTAAATGGCAAGATCAGTCGAACATTCATCCTTCACTCTTGACCCGGATCTTTAACTCGTGACAATGCCACGTATGTAAGTCCAGAGACAAATTCGTGAACAACGGGAGCTGGAAGGGTAAGCCCCTGTGCCTTGTGGCATGTTGCTGCATACGCTAAAACTAAAGGATACTGGCAAATGCTGCCGACAACGTTTTCTTGTTTGTTCGTTTTGAACCAAGAATGCCTTTCGATTTCTACAGACTGTACTTGAGGAAAAAATACTTTGAGGCCTTCCCCAGAACAATCTAAGAATACTCCCTTGGAGCTATTTTTCAATTGGTTGTTAAGATTCCATACTAGCATTACAGGGCAACCTCGCCTTAAGTGAAGTACAGGACTTCCAGGCCAATTCATCCCTCTTGTTTCATTAGCATGTACAGCGTCAAAAAAAAACTCCGGTTCGGGAAGTTCCAGTAAGGATTCACAATTATCGTGAAAAGCTACCGGTAGCTTTTTGAAGTAAATGTGCAGTGCTTCCTTTTACAAACCGCCGAGATTCCTCATAAGCATGTTCAGAAAATTCTGCATCATTGCTGTATTTGCCGACCCTGTCATCTTGCAAGGCGGACAGGAAATCTTTGTCAAATTGCCGCATAATCTCAGTTAACTCAAAGCGACGAGTGATTGCACTCCCAAACAGCGGTGAATAAAACATGAACATACCTTCATCAAGGTCATCCGGTACTGGTCGAAGTTGCAGAAGCTCACCCACCAAAATTACTTGTTTACCACCGAATGGTTTGTGCTGACTACCTTCCTCACTAAGGCTATGATGAATGGCTTGATGACTTCTAACATGCGTCGACTTGACATCCTAGCCTCATCCCAAATCAACACATCACTTTCTCTCACGCGCTTCACCACTAGGTTATTTTCACACGATCACTCAACAAGCTTCTGCGAAGGAAGATCAGCCACTCCCAAGCCATAATGTGAGTGCACAGTTGACGCGACCCCAGGATCATAAAGAGTGCAAGCAATTCCACTTGTGCACACAACAGACACATTGAAACCTGCTTTTCTCAGAGCCGACATGATTTCTTTTACCACCATAGACCTTCCACTTGCAGCCTGGCCTGTTATAAGTAAATTATGCCCTTTATGGACTACACTCACTATCTGTGCTTGACCAGGAGTAAGTACACTCATTTTGCTGATGACTTAATGCCATACTCAATACGATTTCCGTCTGCATTTTGCATCTCTAGGAGAAACAGAACTGGTAATAGAATACGATCGGACTTGTAATAATTGTTAGATGATTATGCAAAATAGCTTAAAAAAGTGTTACATTTGCTGATTTCATCCGGTTATAAGACATTTCGCAAAACCTGCAATATTTTTCACGGTATCATTTTTAGTTCTTTTTTTAAATTATCACACCGCTGTTTCGTCACAGTTAAGGAATTTCGATATTTCATCAAACTTAAATTTTACCGCGGCTTTTTCGGCTTCTTATCACCGTTTCAGAATTTATAGGCTGATCATGTTTATCATAAAGCATGGATCAGTAGAACCAGTATGTCCTCCTTTGTCATACTCATCCTTCCATGACCATTGCGTGTAGTTTTCTAGGAGTTACTGGTAGCCCTTTTTTTTTGACTTAATGATTTCTCACTAATAGAAAAAGGAATAACCTCTTCAAAGCTTGGTGTTGTGAATTGAATAATACACTCCATTCATCATCTCGCTGAAACATCCTCCCTTTTGTAATTGTGATCCTTTCGTTGCCTACCTGGAAACGCGATCGCTCACATAGCGCAAGCGTCATATTATTCCCTTAGCATAGTGGGGCGAGGAGCCTAGTTAATGGGTCATTTCTGCCCTTGCACCCGTCGTGCAAGTGCTAATTGTCACCCTAGCAAGGTGTCCAATTTCAAATGCAAATTAGTTGGTAAGTGCGACAGTGGTCACAGGCACTGGACGAAAACCGGATTTGAGCAGCGGATTTGAATTTCGGCGGAAAGGAAACAGCATTTTTGTTGCGACTGGTCCAGGACCCCGAACGATCGAAGTGACCAGCCTTCACTTCGTTCTACGAAAGGAGTAACAGTGGTTATGCAATAAAGCCAAAAAATTAGTAAAACGACAAACAGACACCAAAACGCAGTGGAATAGATTGCAGGTAAGACTTTTTTATTCATTTCATTTAAGAAAAAGTAAGGTTTAGAGTTATTTTGCGTTTGCAGATCTCAGTAATATATTTCTCATACAAAGTCTCATGTTTTCAACAGTCGCCTGTAACGTGACACCAGTGCGTCACCTATGTTATGTAAATTACATTACACCCTTCCCTCGCAACGTGAGTTTGGGCCGCCTGTGGTTCAGGGTAATCTATTGCAGTCCTTAGCAGTTCTCAATGCAAATTTGCGTTGCCCCCTCTGAGATGCTTAGAGAGCTTGATGCAGAGTTCATCAACATGTACTTTGTAAGTTAGGTGTTTGTCGATGATCAAGTGAAGAAGTTTATGACTTGCACCTTGCTCAATTTCATTGGTATCTATTACAACTTTCAGCTTTCCTGAATCGTGGTCCATACGCCTTCGTAGATGCTTACCTGTAAGCAACAAAGCTTTCATTTTTTGCGTAATGTGTACATTTTGTTACCTCTGGCCCAGCTCTCTCTCTGTTCAAGATCTTCAGATAATATTTGGTTTAGTGATGAAATGGTTTTCCAATTTGAACTTGAAGACAAGGTGGAATCATCTGCATGTGTCCATAGTTGATTTGTTAACAGGAAGAGGCATATCGTTGATGAACAAAAGGAAAAGCACCCGACCTAAAATTGACCCTGGGGCACACCTTGTTTTACAGTCAGCTGTTTAGATTTAACTGTCCCTAAAGTAATAAACTGCTTTCTCTCAGACAGGTACGATTTAAACCAAGCGATGGAAGAGGAACGAACCCCGTACATAGACAATTTTTTTAGAAGAAGTTCATGGTCAATTACATCGAAAGCTTTGCAAAAATCTATAAACACCAAACTGGTCAACTCTAGCCTGAATTTCATCCGATTTCTGTGAGTCGTTATTACTCCCTCAGTAATGTCTGAATCAACGGGCCGTTAATACCGTCCAGCGACGTCACTTCTCGTTTGCTTTAATTCATGCAAAAAGTAAAACACAATTTTCAAGTGGCAAACCAAAAAATATAGTTTGGAAATGTTTACATGATACCGAACAGGTGACAGAATTGCTTTACTCTTTTATCATAATTGATGTTTAACGTTTAAACTATCAACTGCATGCAGTACTCTGAACCGGTTTTAATTCAAACTCAGTCGCAATCACGAAATGAAATAAATACACACATGGAAAAATTAGTTCAAAAACGAAACAATTTCCTTCAATTGAAAAGAAGCTATTTGGGCCTTAACAGAGTAAAAAGAAAAGAAGGAAACAAAGAAGAAGGTTGAATGACAAGGGCAAATGTTTGAACTCCACGCAAGCATGCCAACCAAGGGGGATCTGCTGAATACCAGGCGACAATCCTGCTAAAAATTTCTCGTAATTATACATAATTATGCAAATGTTTAGACAATCAAATAGCCTGAGTTTGATCCGATTACTTGGAGTCAATATTACTCCCTCAGTAACTTCTGAATCGACCGGCCATTAATGCCGTCCAGTGACGTCACTACTCCTTGACCCTTGCTTTAATTCATGCAAAGAGTAAAACACGATTTTCAAGTGGCAAACCGAGAAATATCGTTTGGAAATGTCTGCATGATGCAGAATTGCGTTATTTTTTTCGATCGTAATTCATGTTTAACGTTCAAACTAACAACTGCATGCAGTACAACTCTGAACCAGCTGTACTGAATTCTACTGATCAAACTTGATCACAATCAGGCAATGAAATAAATACACACATGGAAGGCTTAGTTCAAACACACAATGATTTGCTTTAATTGAAAAGAAGCTGTTTTGTCCTGAACGAAGAAAAAACAAGGAAACAAGAAAGAAAAGCTAA